AAGAAGTCCATATGAAGGGTTAAGTGCTCAACACAAGTCTTCTAACTCCTTCTCTAAAATAGCAGCCATCATTACCCCTTTACCTTTTACTTTTCTTCACAGCACTTGCCAGCACCTGATTCATTATTTGTCTGTTTGTCCACTGTCTGTTTCCTCCACAAAATGTAAGGCCAGGGGCTGGGCGCAGTGGTTCACATCTGTAATCCCAGCACTTTGGGAGGCCGAGGCGGGCGGATCACGAGGTCAGGAGATTGAGACCATCCTGGCTAACAAGGTGAAACCCCATCTCATAAAAATAGCAAACAATTAATCTGGGCTAGGTCGTGCGGACAGCCCGTAACACCCCAGCTACCTCAGGAGCAGCTGACGCCGGAGACAACTCGGCGTCGAACGCAGGGAGGCACGAGCTTGCGTGGCCCTCGAGATCCCCGGCCGTGCCACTCCCCGCCTGCGGCCCCTCACAGTAAGGCCCAGCCAGCAGGCACACACACTATACACACAAACAACAACACACACACAACAAAGCGCGACACACCAAAAAAATGACACATATCACCCACTATACAACATTAGTCCGCGCACCGACCCATACTACCAACCCACATAATGGGATCTGCCCACCCTCGCCCAGCTCACCCACACCTATCTGAGCCCACCTACCAGCTGTAAAGCACACACACAAACAGCGGCCACCAGACCTTGAGACCGCTGGCGCCCACACATCTCGGTAGAACCCAACACACATAACAAACACAACCAGACACAGCACCCAGCATGGCACCACACATAAAGCTGCCTCAGCCAGAGCGTGAGGCATGGGGCGAGAACTGAGACCAGACACGGTCGGCGCGTTGCCGTGCGAGCCCAGCCACCTCCGCACCTGGTAGCCCCACCTACCACCCCCAGCTGGTGATCCCCAGCACCACCGCAGAGCACCGACCTCGCTCTCCCAAAACGAAAACCAAAAAAAAAAAATCGGCGGTGCGGTGGCTCCAACACCTTGATCCCAGCACTTTGGGAAGCCCAAGGCAGTGTGATCATAGAGGTCCAGCAGATTGAGCATCTGCTTAACACTGGCGACAACGCCACTGCCCTACTCCACATAACCCCAAAAAACATAATCATCAGCAAACCACGCTACACAGGTAAAAACGCGAAAAGATGCCCACACATGTAGATCCCCACGCCATAACTCGGGAGGCTAGGCGCAGGCAGAACTCGACATACGACAGCAAACGAGCTACAATAGCCCAACACACACTAAAAGCCCAGCCTACTGGGTGACCAAGGCAACGCGCTCAAAAAAAACAAAACAAAGAAAACACAAAACAACAAACGCTCCTGCTTCCTTTAAAAGATTGCGAAAGATAGAGTAATGAGGGATGGATAAGGGATGCCATGCCCTCTGCGAGGAAATATAACATTCTTAATAACTCTATGTTTTTGACACAATCACAGCAAAACATAAACTCCTAAAAAATTCTTCACAGAAATGCTAGCAAAGCATATGTATATCGCAACACATACCTCATAAACATTATCATTGGAAACCCTCCCTAGATTACACAATTATATACAGATGATGGGTGATGCCATAAGTTATTTAATGTGTCAGCAACTGTTGTTTTCCTCTTCAGAACAATAATCATCATCAGTCATCATCACCCACACATTTATTGGCATTTATCCTATGCGCCTGCATTGGCCCTATCGAAACCCCTTTTTTCACAGTTTGTTCTTAAATTTCCACAATAATACCAGTACCCTACTATTTCTATTCTTTAACCAGGTGTAAAACTAGATTTCTAGGCAACACGTCAGTAATTGGGGCCATAGTTAGTATCTTTGTATTTTTATACCTCAAGCATTGCGTAGAAGTATTACGCCTGCTATACACAGCCCTCGCCACCTGAAAGAGGACCAAACTTACACTACGAACCCAGTTGAGCCGTGACTGGGGCATCTACAGAGAGATGCGGACGAGGCTATCTTACAATATGTCAGCTTAGATAACTTAGTCGCGTCATGTCTCTCGCAAAGGAAAAAAGGAGTAGAACTGTGTATCCTAAAATTAGGAATCTCCGCCCGGCACCCCCCCGCGTTTCTTTCCCCACCACAATAGCCGAATACAGACCCGATCTTCCTTACTTTCCCCATATAATTGTCCAGTGCTTAGCTTCCGATAGTCTCTTTGTCCCGTAACCTAAAAGAGCCGAGACGTATCCTGCTAATGACAAAACTGATATCCTGGGTCACACGAGAGCTCTAGGACACCCGCAGCATTATTGTTCTGAAAGTGAAACTTAAAGCAGGGATCGGCTGTACAAGTCCCCGCGCAAATATGACCCCGTCAGGTGGTGGGAACAGCGCGGGCCTGTGCTCTTGGCAGCAGAAGCTGCTAGACGTCCAGCCATTCTGTGCCCTTAGCGTCAATGTGGGCCAGAATAGCTTAGGATCTGAATCTGTTTTCCAGGAGGGCATAATTGCAGACTTTTTACTGTGGGATACTCTTCTGCTTTTAAATGTTGTTCAATTACTGTTACATACGTTTACATATATAGCGTCGCCTACATATGACTGCTATACTGTATATCTTTTATTTTTATTTTTTCTGGCAGATGGATCCCGCTCTGTCACCAAGGCCTGAGTGCCAGTGGTGCGCAATCTTAGCTCGACTGCAGACCTCCCTCGCAAGGTTCAGTCATTCTCCTGCCATCAGCCTCCCAGCTGCCTGGGATTAGCAGGCATCGCGTCCACACTGGCTAATCTTTGTGTATTTGAAAGACGGGGTTTGCGCCATGTTTGGCCGTAGGTCCTGACTCCAATATCCTTAGGTGATGCCTTCCGCCGCGGCCTCCCACAAGTGCTCGGGTTTTCAGGCGTGAGCCACCCCGCGAGGCTATTTAAAGTCTTCTTCAGCGAAGTAGTAATACACACAGAGATGCACTTTGGGAAGATGAAATGTGCCAGTGTTGTGTTCTAGAGCTGAGCTGTCCAGTATGGTAGCCACTGGTGACATGTGCCTATTTAAACTTAAAATAAAAAATTCAGATCCTCAGTTACACTAGCTAGATTTCAAGTGCTCAATAGCCATATGGCTAGTGGTTACCTTACTAAACAGTGCAGATATAAAACATTTCCATCATCACAAAAAGTTGTTGGACAGTGGAGATAGGAGAGACTGAGGCAAAACAGCCAATTGGAGACCATTAATATTATGATAATCTAGGAGAGGTTATCAAGTCATAAACTCCTACAACCACAGTGAGGATGGCCAGGAGGAGCAGGTGGAAAGTTGTCTTTAAGCGGCAACTCCAAACAAATGCTTCTGGGGCCTAACACGCCAGCAAAGGGTAAAACATGGTTCCTTTATTATTGTTTTTTTAAAGTACTTTTCTTTGCGAATTTTCTCCAGCTCCATTATGTCTCTTTCTGATTTGATTTCATTGTACTAGCACGACCCTTCCCAATGAAGATGCAATGACAGCAACTCCTACTGTTGATGTTAGGCCCCCACTTTAGCCAAGAGCCGTACTGAAATCAGAAACTCTTGGGGCCATCAGTCTGTTTTAAGAAGCTGCCGACTGCTGGGCCCCCAGAGTTTCTGATTCGGTAGCGTCTTCTACGGGTAGAAAAAAAAGCAAAGAAGCTGTTCCAGGTGATTCTGATAAAAATTAAAGTATGAGTACCTATAAATATAGTGGATTATCTTTCATGAGCCTTTCAGTGCGTAAGTTTGGGGGGCCCTGTTAAAATACAAGCACTTTTGCCTAGCTCTTTACCCTCCATAGTACCCTTAATCTCATCCATCCATCCATCCATCCATCCATCCATCCATTTATCTAATTATTTACATTATCTGTGTTCAGAGTGTTTTAAAAGTAAAAAATAGGGGCCCAGGCATGGCTCACTGGCTCATGCCTATAATCCCAGTACTTGGAAGGCCGAGGCGGTTGGATACACTGAGGGTCAGAAGTTTGAGACCAGCCTCGCCAACATCGCGAAACCCCCTCTCTACTAAAAATACAAAAATTAGCTGGGTGTGGTGGTGTGCTGTAGTCCTGGCCACCTCAGGAGGCTGAGGCAGAGAATATGCTTGAACCTGGGAGGCAGAGGTTGCAGTGAGCCAAGATGGAACCACTGCATTCCAGCCTGGGGAGACAGAGCAAGACTCTGTCTCAAAAAAAAAAAAAAAAAAAAAAAAAGTCAGGAATAAAAAGTTTAAATACAATCCAATTTTATGGCTATTGACCCAAATGATATGAAATCTTGAAAGCTAGTTTAGTTCCAGGAATATCTTCCCCCTGAACTTTCTTATGTTTTCTATAATCATGTAAAGGCTAAATTCACTTCCAAAATTTCAAAATAAGCATTTGTAATCCATCAAAAACAACCCTAAGCGTGTTACTACCTAGGTTTTTATGGAGAATGTATTGGGAATACAGAAAAAGTATAAGCAAAGAGCCTGGCCTTTAGATCCTTTAGTCACTTTGAATAGCGGCTAGGGATGACTAATAAGATGACAGTCCTTAAGTGGATGACCATTGGACACATAGGACAACCACCTTCCGTGCAATGTGGAGACTGTAACACGGTGTGTTGGAGAGATGCTCATTATTGGGGTGGGGGTGCTGGAGAAGGCTTCACAGGGGCCCCTGACACATCAATAGCATTTGACATGAAAAGAAAGGGGGAAGGAGGTGGGGGTGGGGATTCAGTCGCAGGGAATAAAATGAACAAAAGCAGTGAGGTCTGAAAGGAGGAGGAACGGCCGGCCGGGAAGTCAGGCCTCGGGAGGAAATGGATGGGATAGGCGGTGGGGTGCAGGTAGCACATCAGTTCTGGGGCTTTTGACAACATAGACAGGAGAATTTGAAAGGATGCAGCTTGCAAAACGCACACACTGTCTCTTGTCATTGCCATCCACATGGCCTTTGAAAGTAGAGACAATACCTGAGAGATAAGCTCCCAGGGACGACCGTCATTCCTTCATTCCACAGATACTGACTGAGCGCCTGCGGCGTGCCTGGCTCTGCGGCATACCTGGGTACCTGCCGGTGACAGACGCAGCCCCCGCGATGGGACCCGCTGTGGCCTCGCCCCTCACCGCCTGCAGCCCCCGGCGCCCAGGCGTCTCCCGGCAGCGGCTCACCTGGCTCCTTGGCGGGGGCGGGAGTGCGGGCTCTGGGATCCCTCACGGTTCCCGCCTGGCTGGCGGCGCTGCGGACGCGGATACCGGCGGTTCCCTAGCCGTTGTGGCCTAGCCCGCGGACGTTCCGGGCGGGCAGAAGATGAGAGTGGGGGAGGGGACGAGGAAGGGGAGCATGAACAGCTGGGCTAGGGAGCCGGGAAAGGGGTACCTAGGTCGCCCTCCTCATACCTGAGTCGTGGGAGCCCCTTGGTACTTGGTAAACCTGGGTACCGAAGCTCCTACTCTCTCTGAGGTTTTACTATTCTTGATCGAGGGCCAATTTGGTGCCAGTCCTCGTGCCCTGAACATACAGCAATGCACATGTGTACTGCACAGACGGTAATTCACTGTCGTCTCCGGAAAACTTAGCCTTCCTCAGGTCAGAAGCGGTAAAAGGAAATGGAGGCTAGGAGGGTTACCCAGGTCTCCAACCATAGGCTCTCTGCCCCACAGGCCTGGCTCTCCCCACTGGATGACACCTTCCTGCCCAGATCGTCGGCTCTGGATGCAGACATGCCGTCTGCACTCACTCCCTTTACCCTCCTCCCACCCTATCCCTGTCCCTATCACTGTCTCTCACTCCACCTTGTATTCCTGCTTGGCCCAGTTACAGTTTTACACTTGTTTGTTTGATGACTGTGTTGATGTCTACCTTATTATGCACTTTGTGTATTCCTTTTTGTAAATAATCTTAGCCCTATGAGGGCAGGGATTTTTATCCCTTTCATTAACTGTTTTATTATGAGTGCCTATAACATTGTGGTGGACATAGGAAGTGTTCAATGAATTTGTGTTGAATGATTGCCCTCCCATTGACTGTAAGCTCCACGCAGGCAGCAACTGTAGTTTTTAATCACTTTTTAACTACAAGTGCTTGGCACCTAGTAGGCATTTAATACACATTGGTTGAATGAGTGTATGAATATACTGCTTACTTTATCTTTACCCTTCCATTCACCCTCACCTCATTATCCCAATTTGTAGGATAAAAATGTGCATTTCTGAGGATTCCTACTTCCAAGCTTCCTCCTCACCCCTTGTAACCATTCCCTCATTCCCTCGATCCCCCCAACCCCATCCCTCATTTCTTCACAACCATATTTTTGCTCTTACTTCCCCTTCACCCTCCATTACTTCTTAGAAAGCTTCCTAGCCTCCCTAGTTTGGAACATTCTCAAGCATCATGTTTTTGTAGATAAGAGAATTCCAGCTAAGCTACATTGGATCCAAAACAGCTTTCCATGAATCACCCATGACTCTGTTTTTTGGTTTTATATTGCTTTCCTTGAGGAGGACTGATAATCCTGTACCACTTCTTAAATTGAAATCATGGTCATTGTTCACAATTTTTTCAACAAATACTTATGGGACATGTTTTATGTTATAGACATTGTGCTAGATATTGGGACAAGATAGGCAAAGTCTGAGCCCTCCAAGGTGTGTATGACAGAAAATAGGATAATCACAGGAAATGTTGAGAAATGTCCTGGCTTGGACCTATTTCTAATACAAGAAACTAAGACAATGATGCAGGATCTGATTCTTCTGCTCATTGTAACAAGCTTTAGCATAGGTGTAGGTTGATAATGGATGTAGGCATGGGGTTATAATGCCTTGCCCATTCACATTTATCTTGTTTAGTTTTTACAAATGACTCTGTTAGTCAGGAATGCAGGGCAGGAATTCTCTCGTAGAAGCTGGAACTAAGGTTCAGGAAAGGTCAGTTGACTTGCCTAAATTCGATGAGACTTCTGCCCTCTTCTCCTTACTCGAAAGGCGTGAGTTGAATGCTTAAAATCCTCTTCACTGATGGCTCTTCAGGATAGGAGTCAGTTTCAAATCTTCAGTGTAATGGTTTTTTAAATGCTTCTCAAAGGGAGATATCAGACTTTCCTGAATCAGAATTACCTAAGATGTATTATAAAAATACATGCTCTTGATGCCTTCCTCTGACCTACCCAATTAGACTCCCTGTGAGTCCTGGGAACTTGCATCTTAAACTCCCAGGGTGATTTTTCTGCATGTAAGTTTAAGAACTATTAGGGGAGTTTGAATGGAAAGCCTCAGCCTTTTTTTTTTTTTTTTTTTTTTGAGACAGAGTCTCCTTCTGAGGCCAGGCTGGAGTGCAGTGGCGCGATTTTAGCTCACTGCAACCTCCGCCTCCCGGATTCAAGCAATTCTCCTGCCTCAGTCTCCCGAGAAGCTGGAACTACAGGCTCAAGCCACCATGCCCAGCTAATTTTTGTATTTTTTAGTAGAGACGGGGTTTCACCATGTTGGCCAGAATGGTCTCTATCTCTTGACCTCGTGATCCGACCGCCTCGGCCTCCCAAAGTGCTGGGATAACAGGCGTGAGCCACCGCGCCCAGCCCCTGGAAAGCCTCAGCTTTGATGCAGGGTTAACATTTGCCTTTGGGACATATTTCGTCAGCATCTCGAAGAGTAAGCCACATGTAGAGTAACCCATATGTCCTTGAGCAGATGGGAATGCAACAGCCTTCTGGCCAGAACCTGTCTCTCACTTTTTTTTTTTTTTTTTTTTTTAAATTTGAGACGGAGTTTCGCTCTTGCCCAGGCTGAAGTGCAATGGCATGATCTCTGCTCACCGCAACCTCCGCCTCCTGGGTTCAAGCGATTTTCCTGCCTTAGCCTCGCCTCCTGAGTAACTGGGATTACAGGCATGCGTCACCATGCCTGGCTAATTTTGTATTTTTAGTAGAGATGGGGTTTCTCCATGTTGGGTCAGGCTGGTCTTGAACTCCCAACCTCAAGTGATTTGCCTGCCTCGGCCTCCCAAAGTGCTGGGATTACAGGCATGAGCCCCCGCGCCTGGAAGCTTTTGAAATCTTACACAAAAAAGTCTTTGCCCAGACCAATGTCCTATTTTGCCTATGTCTTCTAGCAGTTTTATAGTTTGTTTCTTACATTTAAGTCTTTAATCCATTTTGAGTTGATTTTTGTATATGGTGAGAGATAGGGGTCCAAGTTTCATTCTTCTGCACATGGATATCCAATTTCCCCAGTATATTTATTTATTTTTGAAAAATCCATACAAACACTTACTCTGTCGCTGCCTGGGGGTCGGGGGACAAGGGGATACAGAGAACCTCCCAGAAGAGAATGAGCCTTTGGTGGAAAGACTTGTCCAGGACTTTGTCAGAGGGCTGGGTGGACCCAGTACCATTTATTGAAGAGGTGTCTGTTTCCCCAGTATATATGCTTAGTGCCTTTTGCTGGCTATAAATATGTGAATTTGTTCTGGGTTCCTCTACTTTTATTCTAGTTGGTCTGTGTGCTATTTTTATACAAATACCATGCTGTTTGGTTATCAATAGTAGCCTTGATGTATGGGTCTATACATATAACACTACATACGATGATATATGTATGTATGTTAGCCACG